TGGAAGGCTGAGTCAACCTTGAGCCGGTGAGATTAGAACCGCTGATCTGCAGATAACAGTCAGCTGAAGTGGCCTGCAGTACTGCACCCTAACCAGTGCGCCACCTCGGCTCTTCCTGAAAAGCACCAGAATCTGACAATCCTGGACAAATAGATATTCTGGGATTACTATGCCAAATCCTGAATCTCAATCTGCCCTTTACTCTTCCTATTTGAACAGAACAGCATTAAATTCTATCTCTGGGGATTCCAACAAAATGCCATAATCCAAATCAGCAGCACACATTTTAATGGCTTAATCCTATTTTCGTCAGAAATTTGAAAGTCTAATGAGCTCAACTACATTTGTATTCTGCTGTAATCCCCCCGCCCGAGAATTCCTCTTTGAATTCCCAACGGTGTTCTTGATCCTTCAATAGCACACCAGATTTGCCAAGTAGGATATACAAAAGAGGAAGCTACGTTCCCTAATCACAAATCACCACCCAACTCTAAGAGTCTTTCCCCACTGCCAAGTTAAACTGCTGCCTCTCTCCTCCTATTCTTGAATCAGCAGAAAAATAATGGGATGAAATGAGCTGTCCTCATTACAAATCCCTATCCTGTTTTATTTTAACTGTTCCCTGCAATTGAAAGTTATCTGACTTCCTTCCAAAGTAATAGGGAGCAAACAAAGCTTGGCATATTTTGCATACTTTAAACCTGGCTTTGGACTGTTTCAGGAATGAGGAGGAATAGCCTGACCTTTGGTATGAGTAAGAACGCCTTAAGACTCTCTCTCTCACTCACTGGGAAGGAGGTGATGGCAATATCATAGAAATGGGTACAAAAAAGAGATCTTTCCATCTAAAGAAACACTCTAAATATCATAAGACTGTGGAAGGAAGTGCAGATATCCAATCTGGGGGAGATGGGCAGAGTGCTGAGATCAGTCTTTCCCCATTCATGTGATAGTGCCCTGGTGGCAGGAAGCATGCTGAAAATGGATACCAGAAAATTGTTCTGTTCTGACCGAGGCTTCCCAAGAGCCTGAAGCAAACTCCCTGTCCCAACAAAAAATCCTTTTATGAACCGTGAATTCTTCTCATTCACATCCAACAAAGTCTTTCAAGGGAGGATTTACAGTCACAGACCTCATCTGGTTTGGAGAGCTGCCAGGCCGATATCTGCAAAACTTGGCAAGGAGTCAATTAAGTGAACTAATTGTCTCCTGCATATTCCACTCCCCTTTTGTTCCTCTTTTATTTCCTCTGGGAAGGGCCATTCATCGTCCACCTCTGGCCTTACTCCCAAGTCAACCTCTGTTCTTTAGCTGTTCCCTTCGGCCGGCCAACTCTGCGCATGTGCACACTGGGAACAGGCTCCAGCTGTTCGTCTGCCTCACTGATGTCTGACTCTGAAGGCANGAGAGGGGGGAGGGAAAAAGGAGAGGGAGGAAGGGCCACAAACCTGGTACTAAATGCATCTTCAGAGGATATCTTGAAAGAACACAGCAATCCAGGGCTGGAAGGGACCTGGAGGTCATCTAATCCAACCCCCTCCAACATTTTTAAAGTGAGTTTCTGTCTTTTGACGCCCCAGTCACATGACTACATATCCATGCCCATTCAGTCACATGACCCCCACTAAGCCACCACCACCACGGTTCATACCAGAACAGGTAGGAATTTTTTTTAGATTTCACCACTATGGTAAACTGACCATGTTCCATGTCCCAACAATAAAACAGATGTGACGGGAACTCATAGACTGAGCATCTTTCTGGTCACCCCCTTGGCCAGAAAGCATCCCCCTCTTATCCACATGGCTCTGACCTTGATGATTTTTGGGATGCCTCAAAGACTTGATTGCCAGGCAAGCTATGTTTTAGGCTACCGGTACTTTTGATCCTACAGATATTTTAGTTTGGGAGATGTTTTCTTATATGTGGTGTTTAATGTTATTAATTATTTTGCTTTTAAAATGTGTTGATTAATTTACTGTATATTACCAAGGCTGTTTTGATGGTGAAGGTCTTTATCATCTACAATCTTATTTGGCATTATGTAGCATCCACTTGGATAGGGGAAATAAATTGCATAAATAAATGGTAAACATTATATGTTAATTTAATTTTCCAGTACCACATAAATTACATCTAGGATACTGAAGAAACTAGATGATGTTCTGGCCAAGTATTTATGTATTATTCATGAGGACTGGTGAAATGTTATGTGACAGAGGGACAGCAAATCCCTATCTTTAAAAGATCCAGCAAACTACGGATCAGGCAGTCTGAGTTCAATATCCGGGAAGATATTAGATTATAAATTGATTAATCTGTAAGCACCTTGAAAACAATGTATTAATTGCCAGAAGTTAGTATGGATGACTAATTGTATCTTATTATTTTGATCAGATAGTTTTCTTAATAGAATGTGGGAATCTATATTATTATAATATAGCTTTATTTCAGCAAAGCATCTAACAAAATATTCCCTGTAGGCTGATTAGCCAGTTAATAAAATATGGACTGGATGGCATGACACGTAAGCGGATACATAATTTAATTGTTTGAAAATATGACTGAACAATGCGCATCACTAGATCTCATCAAACTTGAGGAATATATTGAGTGAGAGCGCCTACAAGAATCAGTCATGGATATTCTACTCTTAGAAAAGGTTTTTTCCCCCCTATAGATAGACCTTGAGTTACAGCCATTAATTTAGTGACTGTTCAAAGTTACAAGGTAACTTGTGACCATTTTTCACACTTATGACTGTTGCAGCATCCCTATGGTCACATGATCAAAGGATGCTTGGTAACTGGCTCATATGATGGTTGCAATGCCCTGGGTTCACCTTTTGTGACTTTCTGACATGCAAAATCAATGGGGAAACCAGATTGATTTAAAAACCGTGTTACTCACTTAATAACTGTATTGATTCATTTCAAAACTGTAGCAAGAAAGATAATAAAATAAGCAAAACTTGCTTAACAACTGTCTTACTTAGGGACAGAAATTTTGGGATCTGGGATCAATTGGGATCGTAACTTGAGGACTACCTGTATTAAAAATTGAATTGAATTGATGCAGGGAATATTTATAAAATCTGCAGATAGAGACACAGAAGAATATAGGAGTAAAAATCAAAACAGATTAATTATTTAGAAACATGACTTGAAAACAACAAGATGAAATCGATCAGAGTCAATTATAAAGTTCCTCACATAAATCAAATACCTAAAAATGGAATGACATATACTTGGCTTGGCAACAATATTTGTGAAAACAATCTTGGTATATATCTTGACTACTGGGTCTGTTTCTAGGCACCAGAGTATACAGTATAGATGGTTAATATAGAGGTATAATGGAACAGGTTCAGCGAAAGGCAATGAAGATGACCATAGGATTAGGCACCAGGTGCTTCTGACTTCTTGGATGAGAAGCAAAACATCTTCAAGGAAAAACAAAGTCCAGTTGCCATTTGAAAAGGCATCTTTGGGTCTCTATTATATGTGTTCTAGTATGACACTAAAGATTTAATTCATAACTGTAGTTGTACAAGCCTCGTGCTTAGTTTGTGCCTGCCTTAGGGGAGTCTGACAGCTAAAGAGACATATGAAAACATTCTTTAACCACCTAAAAGATGTCATATGGAAGGTCAAGAGTTGCTCTCAGCCATTATAGAGTGCAAGATTTGTAATGACAGATTTAAGTTACGGGGTGGAAGATTCCAAGTGAATATTAGGAAATGTTCCAACAGTAAGAACAATGAAGTGAGTTGTCCAAAGCTGTGGTGGCAAACAATCAGAAAGAATCTGGTAGCATCCTTCTCAACAATTTTTTAAAAGATCTAATCCTGATTTCCTTTTATTGCCTCAAACAGAGGCATGACAATCTTCTACCTGTGTTGCTTTAATTTGGAATCCTGCAGTAAAATTGGAGGTGGTGGTCTGGTGTGGTGTGGAGGTGTTAGACTTGATGTTCTTCCGAGTATGATCTATGAAGCTAAAACGCAGCTGGGGGGGTGGGGTGGGGGGAAAGGAGAGAGTCCTGTTTGATTAGAATTGATGGAAAGGGACTGAGAGGTAGGGATCTGTAGATATATCCCTGGAAGAAGAAAAAAAGTCTAGACAATTAGAAATGGCCCATGGCATTATCCCACGATTGGGAAGGGATGCTAGTAAAGGAGATATCCTGGGATGCTGAGTCTATATTGCCAAGTTGGGAGCAAAGAAGCTGCCAGAAGGAAGCCAAAGCAGAGAGGCTGCTGACAGCAGAAAAAATGCCTGTAATTTTATAACCAACCTCAGTGCCTCCATTGGGGGCCATTTTTGTTGGCACTCAGGAGCAATCAGGCTGATGGAGTGATGAGCCTGCCAGAAGCAGACATTGCTGATGGGCAGCAAAGACAGTCAGTGGATGGAAGAGCTACGGGTCTTTGTAAGAGGGAGAGAGGTGTGGGTCAAACACAGGCAGCCCTCCTGGCCCAACTGAAAAGCTGTCTCAGAATGGCTGAAATCTGGAATCAAAGGACTAGCAGCTGTTAAATTAGACTCCTCTACTATAATAACATTCGGGCTTGGATTTTCAGTAATTTATACCTCTGCTCTAGCAAAATAAACAAACCAAATTCCCACAACAGGCATGCGTTTATATTGGGATTACTAGAGTTCTCATCCAAGTTTCTCAAATATTCCAGCTCATGTATTTCTAGAATCCCATATCTTAATATTATTTTGTTTATCCAGGTTTATTTCCCTAGTTGTCCAGCTTTCCCAAGCTGGCTGAGAGCTCTTGGAATTGTAATCCAAACAAATATGGTAGACAACAGGTATAAAGGCTGGGATTAATCCAAAGATCACCTAAACAGCATTATATTTAGGAAGAGACCTTCTACCCCTTCCTCCCCACACTTACGCCTATTAAGCCAGCAACAACCTCAATAGCACCAGTGCCCACGGTAGTGTAAGGGATATCAGGATCAGGAACGCCAGCATTCTCAAATATAGCATTTGTGTAAAACCAGATCTGCCAATGAAGAAGCAAAGACATAAGTATGTGTTGGTCTGGTTTGTATTTAGTTTTCATAACTCTTGGGAAGTTCATCCTGGGAACAGCTCATCAGAAATAGGAATCTATGGCGGTAGATATAAGATTGTTTTGTTATTGGAGAGATACAGGTTGATAGATGGAAGAGTATAATTCAAAATTAGCTAAACTTAGCTAAAACCAGTTGTAACAGGTATAGTTAAATAAATTGATAAATTGATAATGATAGTAATGTATACAATGTTGAGCTGCTATGATAAGTAATAATTGGATATGAGAAGGGAAGGTTAGAAATATTTTTGGATTATATATAAAGATTATTAATAACAATAATAATTATAATAAAAAACAAAATTATATACAGTTAAATTTTAACTAATGGGGGAAAATGCTATGATACAGGATATAGTTAAATAAAGAAAGG